ATATCTTATATAGATGCACCCTAATTCTTGTCTTAGGGACAAAGTTTCAACTTGGTGCATGGGTTTGAGTGGAGTTCAAGGCCGCTGGTTTTTATTCACCCTTCTTGGTATATTGGGGGATATGTTCAAAATCACCATCAATCTTATTAATCTTTTTTTCCTTCGTTCGAAGATATAATATTATGATGTTTTGATTACAGATGCTGAATATGTCTTTACTTCCTTCTGTGCTGCCATGTATTTGTTCGATGTATGTTGCTTTATGGTCTTTAAGCTATTAGATCATTACCGCCAAACAGTGCTTAAGCCTTTATGTTTTGTCTTCCTTTCGTTGGTTTATTTCTAAGCTTGTCATTCCATATATTTGGTCTCCCAAATTGTATAGCGGTCTGGTTTGACATTCTCTTGACGATGATTCCCTATTTTTGTGATTTGATGCGTATGGAGAATTGGTTGCATTTAAAGTTTATGACTATGTTGTGGGGAGAAGATTCTGGTTTGGTTTCTTAACAAGAACATGTTAACTTCCTACTTTTAAATTCTCTCTCTCTCTCTCTCTCTCTCTCAATGAATATTGGGTACTTCATATTTTTCAGGTTTCTTCGATGGGGTTCTAGTTGACATACCATTTAAGAGGGGGTTTAATTCTTCTTTCCTTCTGTTTAATTTCCCATCTTAAGGATTTATAAGATTTGGTGCTGTTATTCAGCAATATCTGAAGTAGATGCATCCTAATTCTTGTCTTAGGGACAAAGTTTTCCTTGGGGCATGGCAATGAATGGAGCTCATGGGTGCTGGTTTTGTTTATTCACCCTTCTTGCTTTCTTGTTTCTTTTTCATGTTCAACATCGGTGAATTATGTGGTTGTCTTTCCTTTGATGTCTTATGCAGATGAATCTCTTGCTTTTAGTCTGTTTTCATGGAGCTGAGTATCAGGATTTTGAGTAGCTTCTGCAGTTGCCTTATTGACCCTGTTTGCTTTCTTATTTCTGTTACATGTTCAATATCGTGAATTCCGTGGTTGTCTTTCCTTTCGTGTCTTATGCAGTGCATCTATTGCTTTAGTCCAGAATATCAGGATTTTGAGGAGCTTCTGCAGTAGTTCTATTTGGTTATCTTTTGCAGGAATTTGTTTTTAAAGGTTTACGTTGCAGTTAGTTCTTGGCTTGTAATTTAATTTCTTATTTCTTTGATGTCTGGAACCATTTGTTTATGCAGATTGCAAATCTTGTCTGTCTATGGAGTCTCACTCTCCGTTGAATAAAAATGGGTTGCCTAACTATAAGAGGGGGTCTTTTATCTGATCTTTTTTATTCGTACCGTCTGTATAATGTGGGGCACATTGTCTGAGCTATATTTCTGCCTGCAGGCGTATCCTAACTCGTGTCTATATATGGAGGTCTCACTTTCTCAAACGAGTTTTAAGAAGGGGTTTGAGTAGTTTTTGGCTTATGATTTTGTTTCTTATTTCTTGGTGTTTATGAGGTATGGAACCATTATTTGAGCACTCTTTTATGCAGATGCATCCCAACGCTTGTCGGTTGCTGGAGTCTCACACTGTTGAAAGAAAAAAAGGGGTTTTCTGAGTTATTATCTGATTTTGTATTATTGGAGCCCGTACGACATCCTGAGACAGTTTTTGCGCAATTTCTTTATATGCAGACCATTACACTTTTCTTCTTGTGGGGTCTGATTCCTTGAAGTAGAACAAGCTGCTTTTAAGAAAGGGTTTGAGTGGTTCTCTGCTTATGATTTAACTTCTTACATGAGCCATTAATGTTTTCTTTTAGAGTTTGATGCATCCTGTGTATGGTGAAGAGTTTATAAGATCTGTTACCATTGTTCGAGCAATATTCTATACAGATGCAATTTAACTCGCATGTGTATGAAGTCTTACTTTGTTTAAGGAGAGCAGGGGGTCTTTTATCTAATCTTTTTTATTCGTACTGTCTGTATAATGTGGGGCACATTGTCTGAGCTATATTTCTGCCTGCAGGCGTATCCTAACTCGTGTCTATATATGGAGGTCTCACTTTCTCGAATGAGTTTTAAGAAGGGGTTTGAGTAGTTTTTGGCTTATGATTTTGTTTCTTATTTCTTGGTGTTTATGAGGTATGGAACCATTATTTGAGCACTCTTTTATGCAGATGCATCCCAACGCTTGTCGGTTGCTGGAGTCTCACACTGTTGAAAGAAAAAAAGGGGTTTTCTGAGTTATTATCTGATTTTATATTATTGGAGCCTGTATGACATCCTGAGACATTTTTTGCGCAATGTCTTTATATGCAGACCATTACACTTGTCTTCTTGTGGGGTCTGATTCCTTGAAGTAGAACGGGCGGCCTTTAAGAAAGGGTTTGAGTGGTTCTCTGCTTATGATTTAACTTCTTACATGAGCCATTATTTGAGTAATGCTTTCTTTTAGAGTTTGATGCATCTTGTGTATTGGTCAAGAGTTTATAAGATCTGGTACCATTGTTCGAGCAATATTCTATGCAGATGCAATTTAAATCGCATGTGTATGAAGTCTTACTTTGTTTAAGGAGAGCAGGGGGTCTTTTATCTGATCTTTTTTATTCGTACCGTCTGTATAATGTGGGGCACATTGTCTGAGCTATATTTCTGCCTGCAGACTATCCTAATTCGTGTCTATATATGGAGGTCTCACTTTCTCGAACGAGTTTTAAGAAGGGGTTTGAGTGGTTTTTGGCTTATGATTTTGTTTCTTATTTCTTGGTGTTTATGAGGTATGGAACCATTATTTGAGCACTCTTTTATGCAGATGCATCCCAACGCTTGTCGGTTGCTGGAGTCTCACACTGTTGAAAGAAAAAAAGGGGTTTTCTGAGTTATTATCTGATTTTATATTATTGGAGCCTGTATGACATCCTGAGACATTTTTTGCGCAATGTCTTTATATGCAGACCATTAAACTTGTCTTCTTGTGGGGTCTGATTCCTTGAAGTAGAACGAGCTGCTTTTAAGAAAGGGTTTGAGTGGTTCTCTGCTTATGATTTAACTTCTTACATGAGCCATTAATGTTTTCTTTTAGAGTTTGATGCATCCTGTGTATGGTGAAGAGTTTATAAGATCTGGAGCAATATTCTATGCAGATGCAATTTAACTCGCATGTGTGTGAAGTCTTACTTTGTTTAAGGAGAGCAGGGGTGCTACTAAGAGTGAATTTCTTCGCCCTATTATTTGATTTGCTGGTCTTTGAGATTTTGCACAACTTATTTGAACAGCATTTCTATATGCAGACACATCCTAACTCGTCTTATGCATGGAGTCCAACATTGTTGACACAGAAGAGCTTCTTCCAAGAGGGGGTTTCTTGTCTTATTATCTATTTTCTATTCTGGAGATTGTATGAGATCTTAGGCCATGATTTGCACCATTGCTTTCCATTCTATGCAGATCATCTTGTCTGTATATGGGGTCCAACTTTGTTGAAGGAAATTGCTTTTAAGAGGGAGTCGAGTATTATAGCCTTATGATTTATTTTCTTCTTGGGTTTATGAGATTCGACACTTTCGTTGGGCATTCTTTTGTGCAGATGTATTGTAGCTCTGCTCAGTTTCTGGATCTTTTTCCTCAGATGTTGGGCTTTGTTGATTTTTTTCTTGTGCTTAAATGTCTCAGTTTTTAAGGAGTTATGAGATGCATCCTTGTTCTTGTCTGTGAACCAGTGTAACTTAATCTTAAGGCGGTTATGCTGCGTCTGATCTTTGTTGTGGCTCTCTTTTTCGAGGAGGGTTTCTGCAGTTCAATTTCAAGTTAATGTTAATGGCGAAACCTCAGGAACAGGTGTCATGCTGAGTTTTGTTTTCCGTTTATTCAATTCAGTATGCTGAACCTTTGAACCTTTGGGCAATTCTTCAGTCATTGTCTCGTGCAGATGCTCATTAAGTCTTACTTGAGTTAAGTTGATGAGGATGATTTTTCGAATGACAATCAGAACTTGTGGCACCGCGCCTGGTTTTTCATATTTGCCTTCTTGTTTTCTTGATACTTACATTTCTTTTCAACTGGTGATACATTATGATGTTGTCAATGTTTTTTGCGGTAGTTCATGGATTTTCCTGTGCGGAAGTTTTTAAGCTCGGAGTCTTACTTAGATCTCCGTTGATTCCTTGAGAAACACTCCACATTTGTTTTCTTATTCATGGTCTTATTTCATGGTGTTTATCCTTCCTGTCTCGATAGTTCAACATATTCGTATGGTGATGGGTTTGTTCTTTTCTTTAACTTAATTATCTTCTCTCAAAATTTACTTTATTTCTGTTTTTTAAAAGATTAACTTATTAAAGATTTTGAATTTCGTGTAGGGGCCTCAAGATCCTTAATTTTGTACGACTCTGTGCCTCCCCTCCTCTTCACTTCTATATTACACTGGTCTTTAATTAATTCACACATTTTAAGGTTCGGCAGATGCTTGTCTTTATTGGTATTGCTGTTTTTGTCTGTTTAAATGTCTGTTTTGTCTGGTTGAAGGTGGATTCAATGCAGTCTGTTCAGCCTTGTGCAATACTTTGGCCATCAGGGTTGGATATTCTTTGGTGCTTCTCTCTTTTTTCCCCTCTTCTTTGACCTTTTCAGAAGGGCTCTTGTTAAGATATTTGGTCGTTCATTGGATATTTTACTGCTGAGTGTATATGATCTGGCACCACCATTTGATCTCATGCAATGTGTTTGCAGTTGCAACCTAACTTGTCTTTTACTGGAGTCACACTTTGTCAGAGCCTAGAACATCTCTTTTTGGAGGTGGTTGTATGTTCCTTTGCTTGCAATTTAGTTCTTTGTAGACCATAAATGTGGCATTTTTGAGCAAATGTATTATGCAAATTCATTTTGCCTCCTTTTTACTTGATTATATATTAATGGAATGGGTATTCAAGCAAACCAACGAAATTAAGGATTTGGCATGTGCGACAATCAAGAGGAATGGGAGTTGCCTTTGTAGAGTGTATGTCTTTCCTTTTGGTCTTGTCTTCATTGGAATGTGGACTGCTTTTATTAGTGTCCTGTGCTTCTTGGCTGACCATTCTTCTTGGATATTGGGTCTGTATATTATCAGCTTGCTCTTGAGGCTTGGGAGAATGGGGATGCTTTTAAGAGGTGTCTGGTACTTCCTGGCGTATGGTTTATTTTTGTTAGATTTTATCAGATATGATTCAAGCAAAAAGATTTGTGCAGCAACATTTGTCTCTTAAAGTCCTGGGGTTTATAGGCGGGCAGGCTGCTGATTGTTTTAAGAGGGAATGGGAATGTGGTATGCAGATTGACGTCTTTGGATGCAGTGAAGTATCATTGGGCCGTAGAGCAGCACTTGCTGACACATAAACTGAGTATGACTTTGATCTTCATTGATCTTGTTTTGCCCGAGGTTTACTGATGTTCAGGTTGACGGGATTGATTTGGCAGCTGAAATGGATAGGATGACTTGTTTTCATTGTCTTTGGATTTCAGCATTTCCGATCTTAATTAGCTTATCTTCTATGTCTTGCTCGATTTTTCAGACTATGAGCTGAGGGTTAATTCTTTCCTTTCATTTAATTGCTTCTCTCAAAGTCTTTTCGTATATATATATATATATATATATATATATATATTTCTCAAGTACAGATGCTAATATGTACCTCTTCGGCTTTTATAGTGTTGGAGGTGGTGGTTTGTGGTCCGCTAAAGGGTTTGGCTTTTGTCTTAAACATAGAGACCTGTTGGCATCTTTCAGTGTGAGTGCCTGGTTTGCTTTTGCTGGTTCTTTTGTTGTGGCATGTTGCTTTTTTATTCTGGCAGGCTAAAGTTGCTCGAAGTTTGTGATGGATCAGTTTGTTGGATATTTGAAATTTCTGTGCAGAGTAGTCCACTGTAGAAGGTTGGGTTTTTAAGCTTGAAGTGTGCTGATCCGTTTAGGTTACACATGGTGTATGCTTTGGTGTATCATTTAATTTGTTTCCCGTAAGAGAGAAGATTTGGTACCTGTTTTATGTGCACACTTTCCTGAAGAAGAGTGTTTTTTAAGAGGTGGAGAAATGCAGGTCTTTAAAAGGGGTTGTTTAACAAGTTGACGATCTGGCATAATTATATGGGTCGTGTTTTATGCAGAAGCAGTCTCATTCTTTCAATGCTCTGTCTCAGATTCAAGTTTATGCAGAGACCTGATAAAACTGTTTTTTAAACTGCTGGTGGAAATAGATGTGGTATGACGTGTGATATTTTCCTTCCCTGTCTTCTTAGTTTCGTCAGCTGATACTCAATACTTTTTTCTATAACTGTTCCTTTGTATAGCTTTTGTGTTCATTTGGGCGGCTTGATAGGATCTGCCGTTCTTTTCTTCATTTGGTGCTTCTCATGCGTAGTCCAACTGATTGAACATTGCAATCTGACACTGTTTCTATGATCAATTTGACATTTTAAAAGGATTTGAGTATTAATTGTATTCTTCATTGTTGGTATCAAATTAGACATTTTGAACTTTAGTGTGTTTTTTATATTGATGTCCTTGAGTTGCTGGGTGTGTTTCTTTTATTGGTTCAATAATGCTGTGGTTGAGCGTCATTCGACTATACCCAGCTGGTTGCTAATACAGGTTGATTTTCTGGAACTAATGTGAATGTGAGTTGTGCTTTAATGCATGCATAGCTTATTTTGGATCTTGCAAAAACCTACAATATAACAATGAACAAATATGCTTTAGCTGGATTTTAAGCTCGTGAAGTGTGGGATGATAGGGATGAGGTCCTCTGAGGGATTGCATTAAATGTGATACTTATCTCTAATTTATGACTAAGTAATGAATTTACAAAGAGAACATGCAATGTATTGAAAGAATGTAGTCCTGGTTTGTCATTTTGGAATGAGCCCTTACGTGGATTGCTTATTATGGAAGAGAATTTTTGTCTTGCCTTTGTTAAAAGAGATTTCTAAACTAATATTTCTCTTGGGTAGTTTTTCTTTTTGGATATTTAAAGTATATATGTTATACTGAAGTTACTTGGTTTTCGTAAATAGGGTCGGAGTTTTTGAAGTTCTTTGTACATTTGAACTATGACGTTGTTTTGTTGTTTATTGTTTATCAATTGTATAATGTCAACTTCTTGATAGATTTTTCTCTTTTAGATTTGTTTGGCTTTTAGTACGATGGTTATGTGCATTGATTTGTTTTTAGCTGCCGTCTGTTGTGTGTATTTGTGTTTAGGTAGTTAGGTTTTTAAGGGATGTAGCTCAAATGGTAGAGCTCTCAGCTTGTAACCTGTATGAACAAGTTACAAGACTTACGAGAAGATCAAGGTTCAAATCCTTGCGTCCCTGCACCCCAACATATTTGGTAGTTTTTGACCTGCCTGTTGATGGATTGAAAGAATCTAAACCCTTGCCTGTATATCTGTGGTGCGGATGCGTCTTTTACTCCGTAGTGTTTTGCAGGGAGAAAGAGAAGCGAAGAGGAAGACAGAATCTTAGAAGAATATTTTTGTGGGAAGAAAATCGCTCCCACAATATGTATAAACAAAGAAAGTCATTGCATTAATCTGTTTCTTACAAATCAAAGAATCCATGGGTGAAGCATTGGCTAGTGAGGCCCAAAATTGTAAAAATACGAGTCATTCTATTTGGAACAAAATGCTGGAACATTCAAGAAAACCATTGTGATAACTCAAGTATCTTATAGTTTCATAGCCTACACAGATATTCCTGAAATCACTTCTTTGGCTTGTCAAAGCAGCAAACCATACAGGAAGATCACCAATAACATAAAATATTTTGATTCAAACTTTTAAGTTAAAATCACTCACGTGTTTGTGGGCGACTCACGCTATCAAAGCTCTTCATACAATACAGTTTAGTAATGTACGTTCACATTTATATATCTGAGTTCAAATTGTTCAATGCAGATAAAACCTACGAAGGTGCCAAGAGGGAATGGAACCCTTTAGTGACTTGTGAATTTTATTTTTATTTTTGGGTTAGAGCATATGCTAGAATCACCCTAAAAGAGTATAAAGATAGCAGCTAATTTATTTGGGAGTATAAAGATAGGAACTAATTTATTTGAAATCTAAATGTAAGAGGTAGCGACAATATTCTAATTTTAAAAAAGATTCACAGTCCAAACCAAACATAAAAACAAAAGAAAGAAGAAAAGAAGAGGAATCTTGGACTCCTCTTCAATCACTAAAAGAAGTAGAGCCGGCGACTGAAATCAGCAGTATGCGGCTCAGCAAATGTGGATATAAAACAGAAAAACAAAATAAATATGTGCAAAACAAAAAAAGAGAAACAAAATACACCTCGGCTTGGGCGCTTCTCCATTGCGAACTCCCACAATGTGGTTTAGTTACGAAGTTGAATTTTTGACCGTGCAATTGATTTGAACGGCTCACATTTATTCTTCCTCTTCTTGAGTTCACTCCTCTCTCCTCTCTCCTCTTTCTTTTTTTATTTTTCTTTTTTCTTTCCTTTCCTTCTCTCTTCTCTCTCCCCTCTCCCCTCTCCCTTTCCTTCTCTCCTTTTTCCTTCTTTCTCTCCTCCAGTTTTCTTCTCTCTTGTCATCTGGCGATTTTTTTTTTCTTCTTCTCTCTTCTGGCTAGTTGGCTATTTTTTTTCCTTTATCTCCAACAACACTAATTGTCACAGACCCATTTGCTCCCTCCTCCCCTCTGTTTTTCGGTCAGTCTAGCTGCTGTGAGTGAATCAAAGAGGGCAGAATTTGAGATTGCTTCCTTGATATCTAGAGTAAATACAGTGGTCCGCATGTAGGAAAGAATATGAGATTGCTTCCTTGATTTCTGTTGATGGCAGAATTATAGGAGAGGACTTCGTAGTATTCTTTTTATTCCGGGACTTCTCTCTTCAGATAGCAATAGCAAAAATTAGTGTTGCTGGAGATGAAGGAAAAAAAGAGCCAACTAGCCAGAAGAGAGAAGAAGAAAAAAAAATCGCCAGATGACAAGAGAGAAGAAAACTGGAGGAGAGAAAGAAGGAAAAAATAGAGAAGGAAAGGGAGAGGGGAGAGAGAAGAGCAAAGGAAAGGAAAGAAAAAGAAAGAGGAGAGAGGAGAGAGGAGTGAACTCAGGAAGAGGAAGAATAGATGTGAGCCGTTCAAATCAATCGCACGGTCAAAAATTCAACTTCGTAACTAATCCACATTGTGGGAGTTCGCAATGGAGAAGCGCCTCCTGGGCTTAAGCCAATAACAAGGCCCAATACTTCTTGTGCCAAAGAAATAACGTGGCAGTGGAAAGCCAACAATAGGGGCAAACATCAATCCGATCGATTTAATATGTAATTACTGATTTGGTTTGGTTTTAATCAAGAAAAAGTAAAGGTTTAAAAACTTAACTGAATCATATATTATTTGGTTTTGAGCTTTTGTACACCTACATAAACTGAACATGGTCGTCTATTTATATATTTATTTATATTTAATTTTACACGCGTAGTGATAGGACCAACTCAAATTTCACTTTGGAATCCGTGTTGAATCTTGTGTGTATCCAATACCTGTCATGTGTTGGGCACATTTGACCAAATTGCCCTTAAACTAAAACTCAAAAATTCTTTTAAGATTTGACTTATGCCGAAAAATCGGTAGAGTCTCCATTGTAAATTGCTCGTTTCCCAATAATTTACACATGTACAAAATGCAATTCTTATATTCACAAGCATTTAGCATGCACAATGTTAGAGCACACACACGACCCAACAACAAATTTGTGTGGCCTCAGGCCTTACAAAATTCCTAGGGCAATATCAGAGCCTACTAATTAATTTAATTTACAAAAAAATTGTACGGTTACAATAGAATATCCTACATAATGGAAGTGGATGAGTGGTGGGTGATGAATGCCCGGTGGTGGTGCTCCGATACTCGATTACTGCCTGGGGGCGCAAAACATTAAAAGTGCGAGTGAACAAAAGAAAGTTTTGCAAAATATAATATCAACATACTAACCACATTGTTAAAACCATTTGAAAATTCATTTAATCCATGTTTTATAATCGTACAAAAATCAAGCCTGCATATTTATATTCATATAACCATTCATACATTCAATAAATTTATCAAAACCATTTGAAAGCATTAAAAAATAATAATTCATTTCTACCTAAGTGTACCTTTCATAAATCTGTAAATTCCATGATTTCTCTATTTATCTCCCACATTATACCATCAATTCCAAGTGTCACGTAAGCGACACCTCCTTGCAGAACTCGAAAACACAAAGTTAACCTGAGCCGTATTCCTTGTAGAACTTAGGAGACACTTGGTCAACCAGAGCCGCATTCCTCACTCCTCACGGTCCGGGTATCCTATGACTTGTGAGGCAACTGTCAAACGCGCGTTGACTTAACCGAAGGCAACTAGGATGTTTGTGAACATCATTATATTTAAGGCAACAATTTATTCGAAGTCAACATTTTGGGTACCTATGGTGGTTTAAAAACCTTTCCTGGAAAATTAAAATACTATTTCTCACTCAATCCTTAAATCCTATTACAATTTCCTTTTATACTTTCCAAGCCATTCACATTTAATCATAAACAAATTTTTATAAAAGCATTTGAATTCAAACTGTATGCTTGGAAAGAAAAAACCATAAATAATTAATTCACGATCAATTAATAAAAATTTTACTGCATAAAATTCATTTATAAAATAAAAGTTCACTCATTGTGCATCTGAGCTCGCCTGACCCATCGAAGGTCATTCTTGCGGGTTCGGTGAAGCCCGAGTACCTATTTAAACGACTAAAACATTTAATTAATAAAATAGCTCAACCACAAATATTTATCAAAACCCTGAATTAGATCGTCGTTTATATTAAAGAAAAAAGTCACCGTTTAATGGGCTTCCTTCTTTGTTTCTGGATGTACTCATGGCTATTGGGTTTGATGAAACTAAAGATCTTGGGCCAATCGCATGGTGTCGACCAGTGCAAAGAATATTAAATAGCCTAGTCCTTCTGTTCCTTTTAGCCCAGCCCAGTGTTACACTGCCACTTGCTTCGAGAATTTTTTATTTTATTTTATTTTATTTATTTTAAATGTTTTCATCCAAAACTTTTATACAAATTTATAAATAAACCCAATTCTAGACATGTATTTATAGAAAAACTCAAGCATTATTTAAACATAGAAACACACCCAAAATCAACCCAAAAGTCAACTTTTTGGGTGTGTTTATAAATAGATTTTGAGTGTGTGTAATGATGGGTTTTGGATGTGTTTATATGTTTAAATAGTACTTGAGTTTTTTTTATAATTTAAGTCCCATTTTGGATGTTTTAGTGAAACTTCCAAACTTTTATAGGAATCCTGCTCCCACAAGGTCGCGTGGTAGTTTCCCTTTTTATTTTATTTGTTATAATTTTTTCTGTCCGAATGTGGATAGGAATCCTGGTGCAACACGAATTGCGAGTCTTCACCCAAAAAAACACGTGGCAGATTTTACTATTTTTATTTTTTTTCCAACCAAGAGGAACCGCGTCGACAGCCTATCCGTTACAACTTAGACATCCACCGTCCATTATTTCAATCACCGCTTAATCTTGACCGTTCATCTCGATCCCCTTCCGATATAAATACCCTTCAGACATTCTCACGGTTCACCTTACTTCGCAGGTCCCTGAACGCAAGGTGGTGGCGATCAGGTTTCGGTTTGTGTAGATTATCGGATTTGTTGTTTCTCTTCTTCTGTTTGGGTTTGATTCTATGCCTTCGATACCGATATCGATGGATGAAGTTTTGTTATCGCTATGCTTTAGGTTTTGGTGATGGATTTTGCTAACCGATTAAAAGTTGGATCTAATGACCTTCGAAGGTTGTGACGATATAAAGAACCAGAGATTGTGTATATTTGCAGGCGTGATTTATTGGTTCAGATGAGACCCAAACGACATCGTGGATCATGTGACGTAGGTGTTTGGATTTGGATCTTCTCGTTGTTTTCTATAGATATAATTTATTGATTTGAGGCTGAAGCTCATCTTTATTGATATGCTTATGAGTTTTGATTGGGATGATGAATGCCAGGGCATCGTGTATTTAGTACCTAGTTATGCTTGCGTTTTGATTTGGACGAAAACCTCATCGATTTACCTTCTATGGGAGATCTTTCGTTTACCTCCTTTGATTTTGTTCTGAAGTTTACAATATAATGATTTGGAAATTCCCCTCGTTTTTTATCAATCAAATAAGCGGAGCTTTGCTGTTATTTTTCAGGCCTCATTTGCGGTGTTTGACACACGAGGGTTAGATGTTTGGTTAGCTGATAACTCGATAGGTTCTTATGGGATCTGATTGTGGATGGCTACGAGGTTGGATTTTTTTACTGTTTTGCGGATGCAATGGAATGTTGAATTTCAAAAATGTCTATCCGGATCTATTGATTTGCAGGAGATATAGTAATAGTATTGCGGATGGCTTTGAGCTTATTACTGCACATTTGTCGTCTTTGGATAGAGCGTAGTGCACTCCATTTGTAAAGGTTTTCGTTGGTTTGCTGCTTATGGATTATTGTTTTTGGTTACGTGCTTATTCTTTTACAGTTTGTCAAAATGCGCGTCTTTATATATCTTTCTAGTCCCTGAAATCTGTAAGTAATATCATGTTTATGTCCTCCTTTTCTCTATAATCATGCCAAACCTTCTGCTCTTTTATTGACAGATACTAAATCCAGAATTTGTGCGGTACATTGTTAACATTCTTAGTTCGTAGCCTTTATTTTTTATGCGTTTCTTGTTTTTTTGGGTATGTTGTAATCGGGTTTTTATGTCCTCAATGTTGGCTTTCTTTTGATTTTCTCAGTGGGAATGGAAGGGTCTATTTTAATTTTTTTATATAGTAATTGGTTTTTTTAAGAGATAAAATTATTCAATGTTCTGATTACAGACCCCGAGTATTTCTCACTTACCTCTTTATTGCCATGTATTTGATCAGTATATTTTGCCTTATGAACCAAAAGTGGGTTGGCGCTTACCTTTTATGTTATGTTTTTTTAAAAAAGTTTATTCAATGGTTTTCATTGCATATATTTGTGCTTCGAATTTGTATAGCAGTGTGGTTAGGTATTGTCTTGATGATTCACTAATTTTGTGATTAAAGTGCTTATGGAGACTATAAGGTGGATGGAGCCAAAAGTTTATGACACTGTTATGGGGAGCTATTCTGGTTTGGTTAACATGTTAAATATTTTTCTTTTAATATTTTAATATTTTTTTATACAAGTCTCTCTCTCTCTTTCACCCCAAAATTAATATTAGTTTCTATGTATTTCTCAGGTTTCTTATGTTGGTTTCGAATTGGCATACTACCTAAGGGGGGTTTTAATGTTGTTGCCTTTCGTTTCCCATTTAAAAATTTATTAAATTTGGTACTGATATTTTAGTAATATCTTATGGAGATGCAACCTAATTTTTGTCTTAGGGACAAAGTTTCACCAGGGGAAAACAGTTTGAGAGCTTGAGGCCGCTGGTTTTGTTCGTTCCCCTTCGTTGGTTTCTTATTTTTGTTACTTGTTCAATATCGTGAATTCTGTGGTCTGTCTTTCCGTTGGTGTCTTGCTTTAGTCCACATTATGTAGTGATTATCAGGATGGTGATTTTTGTGTGTGCAGGAATTTGGTTTTTAACGCCACAGTTAATAAAGGAAGTTGAAATAGGTTATTGGGAGAACATGTTAAATCCTTTCTCTGAAGTTTTTTAAAATTTTATATACATCTCTCTCTCTCTCTCTCTCTCTCTCTCTCTCTCTCCTTAATTAATATTATGTATTATGTATTTTTCAGGTTTCTTCTGTTGGGTTTGAATTGACTTACTAGCTAAGAGGGGGTTTAATGTTGTTGCCTTTTGTTTCCCATTTCAAAAATTTATTACATTTGGTGCTGTTATTTTAACATTATCTTATGTAGATGCACCCTAATTCTTGTCTTAGGGACAAAGTTTCACCTGGGGGCTTGGGTTTGAGAGCTCAAGGCAGATGGTTTTGTTTCTTTACCTTCCTCGGATTCTTATTTTCATTACTTGTTCAATATCTTGAATTTTCTGGTCTGTCTTTCCATTGATGTCTTGCTTTAGTCCACATTATGTAGTGATTATCAGGATTTTGAGCAGTTACTGCAGTTGCCTTGTTTGGTGATTTTTTCTCTCTTATTTCTTTTTAAAATTTTATATAAGTCTCTTTCCCTCTCTCTCTCTCAATATCTCTGTATATCACCCCCTAAATTGGTCAGGTATTATGTATTTTACAGGTTTCTTCTGTTGGGTTTGAATTGACTTACTACCTAAAGGGGGTTTAATGATGTTGCTTTTTGTTTCCCATTTCAATTTTTCTATACATTTGGTGCTGTTATTATAGCAAATATCTCATGTAGTTGCACCATAATTCTTAGGGACAAAGTTTCACCTAGGTGCATCAGTATGAGAGCTCAAGGCCGCTGGTTTTGTTTGTTCACCTTCTTGGGTTTCTTATTTTTGTTACTTGTTCAAATATTGTGAATTTTGTGGTCTGTTTTCCGTCGGTACGTCCACATCACGTAGTGGTTTCTTCTGTTGGGTTTGAATTGACTTACTACCTAAAGGGGGTTTAATGATGTTGCTTTTTGTTTCCCATTTCAATTTTTCTATACATTTGGTGCTGTTATTATAGCAAATATCTCATGTAGTTGCACCATAATTCTTAGGGACAAAGTTTCACCTAGGTGCACCAGTATGAGAGCTCAAGGCCGCTGGTTTTGTTTGTTCACCTTCTTTGGTTTCTTATTTTTGTTACTTGTTCAAATATTGTGAATTTTGTGGTCTGTTTTCCGTCGGTAAGTCCACATCACGTAGTGATTATCAAGATGTTGAGCAGTTCCTGCAGTTGCCTTGTTTGGTGATTTTTTTGCAGGAATTTGGTTTTAGAAGTTTACGCCCCAGTTAAACGGAAGTGGAAATAGGTTATTGGGAGAATATGTTGGCGTTTTGGTTTTGATGAAATTGTTTCATTCTTTACTCGTTCAATGTCCTAAATTATGGGGCGAACATGTTAAATATTTTATCGTTTACCCCTCATGTCACCCCTAACTTAATATTAGGTATGATGTATTTTTCATGGTTCTGCTGTTGTGTTTGAATTGACCTACTACCTAAGAGGGGGTTTAATGCTATTCCCTTTTGTTTTCCATTTAAAAAATTTATTACATTTGGCCCTGTTATTTTAGCAATATCTTATGTTGATGCACCCTAATTCTTTTCTTAGGGACAAAGTTTCACCTGGGGGCACCGGTTTGAGAGCTCAAAGCCGCTGGTTTTGTTTGTTCACCTTGTTTCTTACTTTTATTATTTGTTCAATATCGTTTCTGTGGTGTTGTTTTTCCATTGGTGTCTTGTGCAGACTTGTTTCAGTCCACATTATGAAAGTCTATCAGGATTTTGAGTAGTTCCTGCACTTACCTTGTTTTGTGAATTTTTGCATGAATTTGATTTTGAAGGTTTACGCTGCAGTTAAATGAAAGAAGAAATGGGTTATTTGGGGAATGTGTCTTCGTTTTGTTTTTGGTGAAATTGTTTTATTCTCTGCTCGTTTGATGTCCTAAATTATTGGGAGAACATGTTAAATAGTTTTCTTTTATTGTTTTATTTTTTTATATCAAGTATATATCTCTCCCTCTATCCCTTAATTAATATTTGGTATTATGTATTTTCAGGTTTCTTCTGTTGGGTTTAATTGAAATGCTACTTAAGAGGAGGTTTAATGTTGTTGCCCTTTGTTTTACATTTCAAAATTTTATTACATTTCGTGCTTGTTATTTTAGCAATATCTTATGTAGATGCACCGTAATTCTTCTCCTAGGGACAAAGTTTCAACTTGGTGCACGGGTTTGAGTAGAGTTCAAGGCCGCTGGTTTTATTCACCCTGCTTGGTTTCTTATTTTTCCATAGCTTTCTACTCTTTTGATATGGTTATATGCTTGCTCCTTTACTCTTTGTCAAAGCGACTTTTTAAACCTCTATTGATACCCAGAAAATCATAAATCCGTGTGTCTCTCCTTTTCCCTATAATCAAGATAAGCATTTTGCTCTTCTATTGACAAATACTAAATTGTGATTTAGTTCAATAGTCTGCCTTCTGGTTATGCATCTTGTTTCTTGGTATGTTCTAATCAGATTTTATGTCTTCAATCTTGGCATATGGGGGAATATGTTCAAAATCACCATCAATCTTATTTATCTTTTTTCTTGGTTCGAAGATATAATATTATGATGTTTTGATTACAAATGCTGAATATGTCTTACTTCCTTCTGTGCTGCCATGTATTTGTTCGATATATGTTGCTTTATGGTCTTTATGGTCTTTAAGCTATTAGATAATTACCGCCAAACAGTGCTTTAGCCTTTATGTTTCGTCTTGTCTTCCGTTGGTTTATTTTTAAGGTTGTCATTCCTTATATTTGGTCTCCCAAATTGTATAGCAGTCTGGTTTGACATTCTCTTTATGATGATTCCCTATTTTCATGATTATGGAGAGTTGGTTGCATTTAAAGTTTATGACACTCTTGTGGGGAGCAGATTCTGGTTTGGTTTCTTGACAAGAACATGTCAACTTCCTATTTTTAAATTCTCTCTCTCTCTCTCTCTCTCTCTCTCTCTCTCTCTCTCTCTCTCAGAGGTATCTTCAGTGGGGTTCTAATTGGCATACTATTTAAGAGGGGGTTTAATTCTTCTTCCCTTTTGTTTCCCATCTTTAAGGATTTATAAGATTTGGTGCTGTTATTTAGCAATATCTGAAGTAGATGCATCCTAATTCTTGTCTCAGGGGCAAAGTTTTCCTTGGGGCATGGGAATGAATGGAGCTCATGGCCGCTGGTTTTGTTTATTCACCCTGCTTGTTTCTTTTACATGTTCAATATCGGTGAATTATGTGGTTGTCTTTCCTTTGATGTCATATGCAGATGAATCTCTTGCTTTAGGCTGTCTTTATGGAGCTGAGTATCAGGATTTTGAGTAACTTCTGCAGTTGCCTTATTGACCCTGTTTGCTTTCTTATTTCTGTTACATGTTCAATATCGTGAATTCCGTGGTTGTCTTTCCTTTTGTGTCTTATGCAGATGCATCTCTTGCTTTAGTCTGGAGTATCAGGATTTTGAGTACTTCTGCAATTGTTCTGTTTGGTTAATTTTTGCAGGAATTTGGTTTTAAAGGTTTACGTTCTAGTTAGTTCTTGGCTTATAATTTAATTTCTTATTTCTTTGATGTCTGGAACCATTTGTTTATGCAGATTGCAAATCTTGTCTTTCTATGGAAATCTTGCCTAACAATAAGAGGGGTCTTTTATCCGATCTTTTTTATTCGTACCGTCTGTATAATGTGGGGCACATTGTCTGAGCTCTATTTCTGCCTGCAGGCGTATCCTAACTCTTGTCTATATATGGAGGTCTCACTTTCTCAATTGAGTTTTAAGAAGGGGTTTGAGTACTTCTTGGCTTATGATTTTGTTTCTTATTTCT